AGTCTATCGTCTAGTCTATCGTCTAGTCTATCGTCTAGTCTATCGTAGTCTAGTCTATCGTCTAGTCTATCGTCTAGTCTATCGTCTAGTCTATCGTCTAGTCTATCGTCTAGTCTATCGTCTAGTCTATCGTCTAGTCTATCGTCTAGTCTATCGTCTAGTCTATCGTCTAGTCTATCGTCTAGTCTATCGTCTAGTCTATAGTCTAGTCTATAGTCTAGTCTATCGTCTAGTCTATCGTCTAGTCTATAGTCTAGTCTATAGTCTAGTCTATAGTCTAGTCTATAGTCTAGTCTATAGTCTAGTCTATAGTCTAGTCTATAGTCTAGTCTATAGTCTAGTCTATAGTCTAGTCTATAGTCTAGTCTATAGTCTAGTCTATAGTCTAGTCTATAGTCCTAGTCTATAGTCTAGTCTATAGTCTAGTCTATAGTCTAGTCTATAGTCTAGTCTATAGTCTAGTCTATAGTCTAGTCTATCGTCTAGTCTATCGTCTAGTCTATCGTCTAGTCTATCGTCTAGTCTATCGTCTAGTCTATAGTCTAGTCTATCTAGTCTATAGTCTTATAGTCTAGTCTATAGTCTAGTCTATAGTCTAGTCTATAGTCTAGTCTATAGTCTAGTCTATAGTCTAGTCTATAGTCTAGTCTATAGTCTAGTCTATAGTCTAGTCTATAGTCTAGTCCTATAGTCTAGTCTAGTCTAGTCTATAGTCTATTATATAGTCTAGTCTATAGTCTAGTCTATAGTCTATTATATAGTCTAGTCTATAGTCTAGTCTATAGTCTAGTCTATAGTCTAGTCTATAGTCTAGTCTATTGTCTGGTCTATAGTCTAGTCTATAGTCTAGTCTATAGTCTAGTCTATAGTCTAGTCTATAGTCTAGTCTATAGTCTAGTCTATAGTCTAGTCTATAGTCTAGTCTATAGTCTAGTCTATAGTCTAGTCTATAGTCTAGTCTATAGTCTAGTCTATAGTCTAGTCTATAGTCTAGTCTATAGTCTAGTCTATAGTCTAGTCTATAGTCTAGTCTATAGTCTAGTCTATAGTCTAGTCTATAGTCTAGTCTATAGTCTAGTCTATATTCTAGTCTATAGTCTAGTCTATAGTCTAGTCTATAGTCTAGTCTATAGTCTAGTCTATAGTCTAGTCTATAGTCTAGACTATAGTCTAGTCTATAGTCTGGTCTATAGTCTAGTCTATAGTCTGGTCTATAGTATAGTCTATAGTCTGGTCTATAGTATAGTCTATAGTCTAGTCTATAGTATAGTCTGTAGTCTATAGTCCAGTCTATAGTCTAGTCTATAGTCCAGTCTATAGTCTAGTCTATACTCTAGTCTATAGTTTAGTCCATTTTGCTTTAGAAAACGTATTTATTTCCAAATGAAAGATTTCTTTGATTCGATCTAGCTTTCGCTAATTTTCAAAACTGTTAAAAATTCCGGTATTTCTAAGATGGTAATTATAACAAATAGCCATTAACACCCTTAAGTAGCGCCACGCCTCGTACTAACTAAAGTCCACGCTTTGTATGTTTATTGCTACTAAAATTGCTGCTGTTGTTTGCTCATTATTGTCATTCAATATCTTGACTTTATCATCTTGTACAAAACATTAACATTGTTCACATTAAATAATAAATATAAACCAGCACTTTAAACAATAAACATTAATTTAATACTGTTGCACTTTTGTTACTTTGTTGTATTTAAAAAGACACATACACCAACACTCAACAATTGTCTTTAGGTTGTTTGTCGGTAATGATTGGCGGTCAATATTTTGCAAAAATCAGCCGTCAACCTCCATGTGCATTTTGAATTCGTTTTGAGTTGGGATTTTCTCTTATTCTTCCACCATTTTTGTTGATTTGATTTACTATCAATGACACCTGTTTAAGGCGGATATTGGCAATGTTAATTTCGTATTAATTGAATTTAATTTCATTTGTTTTCTGTTGTACATTTTGTGTAATCGATATTAAATTAAATGAAATTATAAATAATAACATTAAAGAGTTTAACATACATATAAAGTACATGTGTATTTCTTTTTATTTAGTGATTTAATTTTAAATATTTATTTAATTTTCTTGCATTGACATTGATGTTAATGATATCTGTATGTATGTATCCGTAACCCACAACTAGCCAAAGGCAAAATTGTATTAAGCCATTCGATTAGAAAAGGTATCTATCTATTTGTATTACTTTAAGTGTTTTGTATCCGTTAAAATTTTATATTTCTGTTTAATTAGTCACGCGCTGCAAAAAACCCCAATTAGTTTTGAAAGTAAAGTGTTACAATTAAAACTGAATTTGGTTTTAGATAATTAACTATTTGGGAAAATTTTAAAATTCTAACGGAAATATGTTGAATATTTGCCTATAAACGTGACTATAGACTTGACATCAGACATATTAGCAAATAGGGTAAGCTATATATTAACCATTGAATAAACTAGGCCTGTGTGCCCCAGCACCACTACCCACCCATAAGTGATGTTTCATCAATGAGATTATTAGTAACATGATATTGTTGTCTATGTTATAGCTTAAACTCGACTACAGGCAACACTATAGGGTTGACTTCAGACTAGAGATTAGACTATAAACTAGACAATAGATTGGACTTTAGACTAAAACATAGACAGTACTATGGACAAGACTATAGACTAGACTATAGGCTAGACTATAGACTAGACTATAGACTAGACTATAGACTAGACTATAGACTAGACTATAGACTAGACTATAGACTAGACTATAGACTAGACTATAGACTAGACTATAGGCTAGACTATAGACTAGACTATAGGCTAGACTATAGACTAGACTATAGACTAGACTATAGGCTAGACTATAGACTAGACTATAGACTAGACTATAGGCTAGACTATAGACTAGACTATAGACTAGACTATAGGCTAGACTATAGACTAGACTATAGACTAGACTATAGGCTAGACTGTAGACTAGACTATAGGCTAGACTATAGACTAGACTATAGACTAGACTATAGACTAGACTATAGACTAGACTATAGACTAGACTATAGACTAGACTATAGACTAGACTATAGACTAGACTATAGACTAGACTATAGACTAGACTATAGACTAGACTATAGACTATAGACTAGACTATAGACTAGACTATAGACTAGACTATAGACTAGACTATAGACTAGACTATAGATAGACTATAGACTATAGACTAGACTATAGACTAGACCTATAGACTAGACTATAGACTAGACTATAGACTAGACTATAGACTAGACTATAGACTAGACTATAGACTAGACTATAGACTAGACTATAGACTAGACTATAGACTAGACTATAGACTAGACTATAGACTAGACTATAGACTAGACTATAGACTAGACTATAGACTAGACTATAGACTAGACTATAGACTAGACTATAGACTAGACTATAGACTAGACTATAGACTAGACTATAGACTAGACTATAGACTAGACTATAGACTAGACTATAGACTAGACTATAGACTAGACTATAGACTAGACTATAGACTAGACTATAGACTAGACTATAGACTAGACTATAGACTAGACTATAGACTAGACTATAGACTAGACTATAGACTAGACTATAGACTAGACTATAGACTAGACTATAGACTAGACTATAGACTAGACTATAGACTAGACTATAGACTAGACTATAGACTAGACTATAGACTAGTCTATAGACTAGACTATAGACTAGTCTATAGACTAGACTAGACTAGACTATAGACTAGACTATAGACTAGACTATAGACTAGACTATAGACTAGACTATAGACTAGACTATAGACTAGACTATAGACTAGACTATAGACTAGACTATTAGACTAGACTATAGACTAGACTATAGACTAGACTATAGACTAGACTATAGACTAGACTATAGACTAGACTATAGACTAGACTAACTAGACTAGACTATAGACTAGACTATAGACTAGACTAGACTAGACTATAGACTAGACTATAGACTAGACTATAGACTATAGACTAGACTATAGACTAGACTATAGACTAGACTATAGACTAGACTACTATAGACTAGACTATAGACTAGAACTATAGACTAGACTATAGACTAGACTAGACTAGACTATAGACTAACTAGACTAGACTATAGACTAGACTATAGACTAGACTATAGACTAGACTATAGACTAGACTATAGACTAGACTATAGACTAGACTATAGACTAGACTATAGACTAGACTATAGACTAGACTATAGACTAGACTATAGACTAGACTATAGACTAGACTATAGACTAGACTATAGACTAGACTATAGACTAGACTATAGACTAGACTATAGACTAGACTATAGACTAGACTATAGACTAGACTAGACTATAGACTAGACTAGACTAGACTAGACTAGACTAGACTATAGACTAGACTATAGACTAGACTATAGACTAGACTATAGACTAGACTATAGACTAGACTATAGACTAGACTATAGACTAGACTATAGACTAGACTATGACTAGACTATAGACTAGACTATAGACTAGACTATAGACTAGACTATAGACTAGACTATAGACTAGACTATAGACTAGACTATAGACTAGACTATAGACTAGGACTATAGACTAGACTATTGACTAGACTATAGACTAGACTATTAACTAGACTGTTAACTAGACTGTTGACTAGACTTTAGACTAGACTATTGACTAGACTATAGACTAGACTATAGATTAAGCTATCGACTAGTCATTAGACTATGATTATATTAGCGATTACTAGACTATAAATTAAACTGTCGACTAGACTTTAGGCTAGATTATAGACTAGGCTTGATGAAAACTAGACTGAACTAAATTGTAGGCTAAACTCGACTAGTATGGTCTGTTGACCTGAAGGTTAAACTATTTCCTTTGATTAGAATGAATTCATTTACATGTCTGATATAACATGTCAATCTAAATATATATTATTTTGCTTTTTTAAACATCACCATGAATTTTAAACAATTCTGGACTTTCAATATTCAAGCCGCACCACCTGAGCAGCAGTCTTCGCAAGAAGCGCAAGCGGAATTGGTGGATCAACAGAAGGAATTGAGAGATTTTTGTGATAAAAAACGTAAAATCTATAGACTCTATGAAACTCTACAAAAATGCAATAAACGTGTCAATAGTCGTCAACAAACAAGGGAAACCTGTGAGCAGGAGCTATTCGATTATGTTCAAGCACTCGATCATTGTGTGGCCAAAATGTTGTTCCCCCAATTGGTTTAGGATTATGAAATATAAATAAAACGGTTTCTTTGAAATTGGTGCCTATAAAAATATGTAATAACATTTTGCAAGAAATTGTTTTCTGCAAAAAATGATAACGTTTATAGAAAAACATGATTATTGGTTGTTGACTTGTGTGGCTGCTGATGGCTGTTACAAGGTGTATTATTATTAATTTTTTTTTTGGTTCTCTATTTTTTTCTACAATTATTTGGTGGGCTGACATGATTCTTGTCAGCTCATAAAAATGGCCATTATTAAAACAATTTATTAAATGAAAAAATATTTTAAATTTTCGCAATTTGTTTTTTATTACCAAGACAGGTGACTACTATTTCTGGCTTCAGATTGCTGTTAAGATTTGTTTTCTTATTTCTAGAAATAAGTCTGTCTTTATTATATAGTCTATATAACTATATTTGTTTCTTATGCATTTGATCATTAAAAAATACACTTTTTATGGTCTTTAATAACAATCGTAATAAAAATAATAATATTCAATGTTAATTTCATTATGACTGCAACAACATTATCTATATTTGAGTTGTTTGTTGTCTTTATTTCGTATAGAAAAAAATTTAAAACATTTGCTGTCCAAAACCTTGATACAGTTTAGATTGTGATAAAGTGTTCATTTTCGGTTGGTTTCTCTACCTACAATAAGGTTTCTATGAAATATTAGTTGTAGTTTATTATATTTAGAGCTACTATTAACAAAATATAATTGTATTAAATTATAATTAAATGTACTAAAGTAAGTATAATATGCTCGTATTTACAAATAATGTTGACAACCGAAAAGAATTCTAGACTTACATAGAGTTGCCAAGCTTTTAGTATAATGTAGCCTGTATAGTTCAATCTATAGTCTATAGTCTAGTCTATAGTCTAGTCTATAGTCTAGTCTATAGTCTAGTCTATAGTCTAGTCTATAGTCTAGTCTATAGTCTAGTCTATAGTCTAGTCTATAGTCTAGTCTATAGTCTAGTCTATAGTCTAGTCTATAGTCTAGTCTATAGTCTAGTCTATAGTCTAGTCTAGTCTAGTCTATAGTCTAGTCTATAGTCTAGTCTATAGTCTAGTCTATAGTCTAGTCTATAGTCTAGTCTATAGTCTAGTCTATAGTCTAGTCTATAGTCTAGTCTATAGTCTAGTCTATAGTCTAGTCTATAGTCTAGTCTATAGTCTAGTCTATAGTCTAGTCTATAGTCTAGTCTATAGTCTAGTCTATAGTCTAGTCTAGTCTAGTCTAGTCTAGTCTATAGTCTAGTCTATAGTCTAGTCTATAGTCTAGTCTATAGTCTAGTCTATAGTCTAGTCTATAGTCTAGTCTATAGTATAGTCTAGTCTATAGTCTAGTCTATAGTCTAGTCTATAGTCTAGTCTATAGTCTAGTCTATAGTCTAGTCTATAGTCTAGTCTATAGTCTAGTCTATAGTCTAGTCTATAGTCTAGTCTATAGTCTAGTCTATAGTCTAGTCTATAGTCTAATCTATAGTCTGGTCTATAGTCTAGTCCATAGTCTAGTCCATAGTCTAGTCTATAGTCTAGTCAATAGTCTAGTCTATAGTCTAGTCTATAGTCTATAGTCTAGTCTATAGTCTAGTCTATAGTCTAGTCTATAGTCTAGTCTATAGTCTAGTCTATAGTCTAGTCTATAGTTTAGTCTATAGTCTAGTTTATAGTCTAGTCTATAGTCTACTTTATAGTCTATTCTGTAGTCTAGTCTATAGTCTAGTATATAGTCTATTATATAGTCTAGTCTATATTCTAGTCTATGGTCTAGTCTATATCTAGTCTAATAGTCTAAGTCTATAATCTAGTCTATAGTCTAGTCTATAGTCTAGTCTATAGTCTAGTCTATAGTCTAGTCTATAGTCTAGTCTATAGTCTAGTCTATGGTCTAGTCTAGTCTAGTCTAGTCTATAGTCTAGTCTATAGTCTAGTCTATAGTCTAGTCTTTAGTCTAGTCTATAGTCTAGTCTACAGTCTAGTCTATAGTCTAGTTTACAGTCTAATTTATATTCTAGTCTATAGTCTAGTTTACAGTCTAATTTATATTCTAGTCTATAGTCTAGTCTATAGTCAAGTCTATAGTCCAGTCAATAGTCTAGTTTATGGTCTAGTCTATAGTCTAGTCTATAGTCTAGTCTAGAGTCTAGTCTATAGTCTAGTCTATAGTCTAGTCTAGAGTCTAGTCTATAGTCTAGTCTATAGTCTAGTCTATAGTCTAGTCTATAGTCTAGTCTATAGTCTAGTCTATAGTCTAGTCTATAGTCTAGTCTATAGTCTAGTCTATAATCTAGTCTATAGTCTAGTCTGTAGTCTAGCCTATAGTCTAGTCTATAGTCTAGTCTATAGTCTAGTCTATAGTCTAGTCTATAGTCTAATTAAATCTTGTTGGTTCTATGTGTTTTCGAAATGATTTATTTTCCAAACTTCCTCTAACTTGAATCTAGAGTAATTCCCAGTCTCTTAAATAAATCAGTTATTCGCGTCAACCACTTCGAACTGCAGGGTACAACAGCAAACAAATCCACCTAGCCGTACTCCAGTCGAATTGATCTGTGTGATTGTAATGAATGTATGACGAATATGAATGAAAATTTTTTGATCAAATGAATTGTATCAAAACAGAAACAGAATTAAATTTGAAATTAATCTTCGTCTTAAACGAACAATTGCGTGTAATGTTGTTACTTTGTTGAATAATGTCTAATAGAAAACAATAGCAATAAATTAAACTTAATTTAAAGTCATTTCTTTTTTGAGTGCTTCTTTTAGCTGGTTTGAAAGTGAACTGGAATTTATAGTATTTATTTGGGGTGTATGACATTGGATTTGAACTGATTATGGTTCAAAGTTAAATGCATAATGGTTTTATTGTGGTATATATGAAGCAGTTAAATTAAAGATATTTTTAAAATTGGAGCTAACATTGTGTTAGGTAGAGGTACCATAAAAAGTATAAATAATTTAAAAAATATTTGAAAAGGACCATAAATTTGCCACTTTTTTATTATGTTTGGATTACATAGTTGTTAATATCCATAAAACGTTGGTAACAATAATTAAAAAGATAAGATTTGTTAGGAAAATTTATGAAAATTTCACATACTTTTTATTACTTCCTTAATAATCAAGTTTGTTGAACTCTGCTATAAAATATTTTAAAATAAACCACAATCTATTGGTAACAATTGATATCTCAAGCATATAGTTTAGTTAAACATAAAAAATCAAATTTTAACCGGCCAAATATGCAAACGCATGCGCCATAAGAATGGCAAATTATCCCAGCAAAAACATGATAATGACTTGTTGTTACCCCCACAAACTACATTTCAATGACTACATACCGTCCTTGTTACTTAGAAGAAGTCTTTTAACGACTTACAAATAACCTGATAACTTACTTTTTAATTTTGACATTTTGTTATCGAATTTTATTCATTATTTACCTATTTGTAAGCGAGCGTCATATGTATTTCTAATGTCAATATCGTGTTAAAATACTGATTTAAAATTCTACTATGTAAGTATGTTTTTAGCATTTTAACCCCTTACTTGGTAATGAAAGTTTTGCTGGGATATTTTATTTTTTCATCATGCTAAAATAAAAAATTAATCAGACATTTTTGTATATAAACTGGTTAAACTAGTGAATAAATTTTTTTATAAGATTATTAAGTTTCTGTTTTTGTATTCATACCCTACAGCAGTATAGTGGAGTGGATGGGGGTAACATCCAAAATATTGGTTATATACTCAGCTTTAAGAATACCAATCGGCTGAGAATCACTTTTGAGTCAATGACGATGGTTGGGGCGGGCGATGTCGTAGCGAGCGAGCTCGAGCGAGCGAGCGAGCGAGCGAGCGAGCGAGCGAGCGAGCGAGCGAGCGAGCGAGCGAGCGAGCGAAGCGAGCGAGCGAGCGAGCGAGCGAGCGAGCGAGCGAGCGAGCGAGCGAGCAGCGAGCGAAGCGAGCGAGCGGACGAGAGCGAGCGAGCGACGAGCGAGCGAGCGAGCGAGAGAGTAGCGAGCGAGCGAGCGAGCGAGCGAGCGAGCGAGCGAGCGAGCGAGCGAGCGAGCGAGCGAGCGGGAGCGAGCGAGCGAGCGAGCGAGCGGAGCGAGCGAGCTAGCGAGCTAGCGAGCGAGCGAGCGAGCGAGCTGAGGCGAGCGAGCGAGCGAGCGAGCGAGCGAGCGAGCGAGCGAGCGAGCGAGCGAGCGAGCGAGCGAGCGAGCGAGCGAGCGAGCGAGCGAGCGAGCGAGCGAGCGAGCGAGCGAGCGAGCGAGCGAGCGAGCGAGCGAGCGAGCGAGCGAGCGAGCGAGCGAGGAGCGAGCGAGCGAGCGAGCGAGCGAGCGAGCGAGCTAGCGCGAGCGAGCGAGCGAGCGAGCGAGCGAGCGAGCTAGCAGCGAGCGAGCGAGGAGCGAGCGAGCGAGCGAGCGAGCGAGCGAGCGAGCGAGCGAGCGAGCGAGCGAGCGAGCGATAGCGAGCGAGCGAGCGAGCGAGCGAGCGAGAGAGCGAGCGAGCGAGCGAGCGAGCGAGCGAGCGAGCGAGCGAGCGAGCGAGCAGCGAGCGAGCGAGCGAGCGAGCGAGCGAGCGAGCGAGCGAGCGAGCGAGCGAGCGAGGAGCGAGCGAGCGAGCGAGCGAGCGAGCGAGCGAGCGAGCGAGCGAGCGAGCGAGCGAGCGAGCGAGCGAGCGAGCGAGCGAGCGAGCGAGCGAGCGAGCGAGCGAGCGAGCGAGCGAGCGAGATAGGAGCGAGAGGCTAGCGAGCGAGCGAGCGAGAGAGCGAGGCGAGCGAGGAGCGAGCGAGCGAGCGAGCGAGCGAGCGAGTCGAGCGAGCGAGCGAGTAGCGACCGAGGAGCGAGCGAGCGAGCGACCGAGCGCGGAGCGAGTCTAGCGAGCGAGGCGAGCGAGCGAGGTAGCGAGCGAGCGAGCGGAGCGAGCTAGAGATCGAGATAGCGAGCGAGCTGAGCGAGCGAGCTATCGAGGACGATTACGAGCGAATAGATCGAGCTATCTAGCGCGCGAGCTAGCTATCTATGCTATCTAGTCTATCTATCTAGCTATCTATCTATCTATCTATCTATCTATCTATCTATCTATCGATCTATCTTCTATCTATCTATCTAGCTATCTATCTATCTATCTATCTATCTATCTATCGATCTATCTATCTATTATCTATCTATCTATTTATCTATCTTTTCATCTATCTATCTGTCTATCTGTCTATCTGTCTATCGGTCTGTAACATATCACTGGTC